AGTAAGGAAAAATGAATTGGATATAGAAAGTTGGAAAGAGAAAACTGTGTGTAATTAAGCTAGCTAAAATGGTATGAATTCATACATGTGTAAACATAAACTTTAGTATCAATAGAATACTCGAATAAAACAAAAACTTGGTTTTCTTCCATCTCCTGAAGGTGTAACTGAACCAACTTGAGTTTGTTCCTTGGCCAAGATAAACAGTACACCCGGTTGGGTTGTTGGACAAAGTAAAATTTGCAGCAAAAAAGGAGTTCATAGGGCATAACCTCCAAAGCTATGACTCCCTGAGTAAGTGTGCATGGGTTCCTTTTCTTTAGGGTTAGGGTGAATATTTTAAAAAGGGGATCTCTGGGGGCACCTGGGTGGCTCAGTCGGTCAAGTGTCTGACTCTTGATTTTAGCTCCGGTCATGATCTCAGCGTTGTGAGATCGAGCCCTGTGTCAGGCTCTGCTCTGGACATGCAGCCTGCTTAAGATTCTCTCTCTCCCTCTTCCCATCCCCCAGCTCATGGGCACAGGCTCACTTGCTCTCTTTCTCAAATAAATCTAAAAAAAAAAAAAAAAAAAAAAAAAAATCCTCTAAAAGGGATGGATCTCTTATCATCAGGTGTGGAGGCAGGCATGAGATCCCATAAGCACCTTAAGGAAAGATGCCTATGCTACTTTGTATGTTATGTAAATGAGGTTGTGCTCCTCATTAGGTAGAGATTTTAGTATTACAATGAGGTATAGGTAGGTGTTGGTCACTCAAGAGGTCACTCCGTGGTCCAAGGGCCCAGGCGCGAGCCAGGAGTTAAGCTCAAACTCGTTTGGGTGGTGTGGGCCTGCTAGAGGTCTTATCAGGACCTTCCCTATGCTATTGCCATCTGCCTGAGTCAACAAACTGGAAAGAAGACCTTAAGGAGAAACGTAGGACAGAGGTCGGTGAGTACGAGCAAGGGGCTGTAACCGTGAAGCCTTGGGTTCTAGCTGGTAACAAAAAGAAAGTTCTTTCCAACTTCGGTCTGCTCCTGATAAAAACTGTGAAAGGTTTTTCTCTACCTTTCAAGCTGACTGGAAAGCAAAAGATTTTGTGTTTTACTGAAATAACTTCCTGTGTTTCATGTTATCTTTATCATCAATTTTTTGATTACTTAAGAAAACCCAGGCTTCTCAAGAGTAAGAGCCCAGTTTTGCTCACAACTATGTAACCTTCTGTATTTGCCTTTGAAATCTTTTGTCACTTTGGTTAAAATAGGTAATCAAGTATTGTTTCTAAATTCTGGTCAAGTATTCAAAACTATTGAGCTTTTTGAAGATCTGAAACTCAAATTCTAAATGAAGTCTTTTAAAAAAGATTTATTTACTTATTTGAGAGAGAGAGAGAGCATGAGAGGGCGGAGGATCAGAGGGAGGAGGATCAGAGGGAGAACCAGATGCCCCGCTGAGCAGGGAGCCTGGTGCCGACTGGATCCCAGGACTCCAGGATCACGACCCAAGCCGAAGGCAGTTGCTTAACCAACTGAGCCACAGGCACCCTAAATGAAGTCTTTTTGACCTTGAAATAACTAGGATGCTCCAGAGGGCCCCTAGAACATCTCAAGATTTGTCTCTCTCTTTGTAGAAAGAGCTATTAAACTTAAAAAAAAAAAAAAAGCTATTAAACTAATTAGACTTCTACTAAATTACATGGGAAGCACTCCCAAGTAAGAGGTACTAACCTTTGCTTTGGTTGTATTTTGGTGGATACAGGTCATTAACATAAATGTTCCAGAAATTGTAATTCCTAGAAATCTGTTATGTCGTTACCACTTGTAATCCTACTTATTATCAGTTGCATTATAGTGAACTCTCACTAGATCTTTAACCATGGCCATTTTTAAAGTGTTTTGCTATTTATAGGAGTTACTGTTCTGCTTTTGCAAAACTGCTTCATCTTAAAGGAGATTCATGGAAAAAACTCTGACAAATACAGGCTTCTGATAACTTTCAAATCATACCATTGAACTTCTAAAACTCTATGGGAAAAGTGGAATTACAAAATTGCTAATAAGAGACCAAGATAAGCAAGGATAACATGTGATTGAATGAACCAATGAGGATGATTTTAATTTTTATGACTTTGAAATACTAGTTATTTCCAGACTTAAGGGAAAGCTTTTTATTTTTTCTTAAGCTACCTATGACTTAGAGCAATTTGGTAAAGTATGTATTAATGAACAAAATGAAACAATTATTTTTTCTCCCTACCTGGTCCTTCTAGAATTTGGAAACTCATAGTGACCCTTATTTCCATGGCAATACGGTTACTTGTAAAGTTCAATAAGCATCTGTTCTTATAAGAGGACGCAGTTAGAAACACTGGTTAGTTAGAAACCAAGACTTTGAGTGGACTGTCATATTTGAGAATGTCCATAGAATCAGACGTGACTGTGCAGTTTTAAGAAGGTTAGTTTGACTTTATGGAGTTGGTACGGCCCCTTTACAGGGTTCAAGGCAGCCTTACCCAGTAAGAAAGGTTACTTTCTGGCAGGTGCGGGACCCATAGAATATTTGGGGCAATCTTAATAAGAGAGGAACTAACCTAAATCTATAGGTATTATAGGCAACATGAGGATAAGTTCCAATCTGAGATTCCTTATGATAAGTTCCAATAAGTTCCAAGATTTCAAAGAGCATATATGGTCAACCACTATTCTTGTTATGTAAATAATCAGGCCAAGTGTAATTTTGTTATTATCCTTGGCAGAAGTGGGGATGATTACAGAGAAAGATGATGCTTCAGTGGAAACTCTACTACACCCTTGTGAGTATCAGATTCTACTTGTGTTGTCTGACGTTTCATTATTTACCTCTAAATGGACTTCATCCTGAATTCCTCTAGTTTCCTTGCATAATCTTGCTAGAGACCTCCTCAAAGTAACATTCCCAATTTTACTCTCTTTTGACTTGGAGTCACTGAAAACAAACTGCGTGAAATTCCTAGAAATTTGATTTGATACGTCGTGCTGTAGTGTTATCACTTATAATTCTAGTTACCTTAAAATGTAGGTCACAGAAGTAACCAGATGTCCTTGTCAGCTGCATTATCGTGAACGCTCATCAAAGCTTTAATATTGGCCATTTTGTAAGTCTTTTGTCAATTACAGAAGTTATTTCAGAACGTTTTGCAAAAGTGTGGAGCCAAGCCCTGCAAACTGAATGTGAATGACTTGCTATAAACTCCACAGAAATGCCCCAGTAGCTTATGTTTACAGTCTTCGTGCCTGTTACCTTGTGGGCCAGAGTTGACCTCAACACCTGACGACAGAGACATTCACGCTGCAGAAGATCCTTTGACCCCAACGTGTAGAAATCTTCTGACTGGCTGCCCTCAGGGGAGAGATTCAGTGCATGATTTGCTCCAACCATTACCCTTTTCCTTTCCCCGCCCCCATAGAAATGCTGATTAAATCCCTGCCTGCACTGTAGAGGCCTAACTGGGCTTCCACCTGCCCCTCCATCTCCTCAAATGAGCCAACCTGACCTGTTCGCAAGACCGACACTGGTTCCATGAAACTACGGAACAATCTGTCAATCCACTCAGCTTCTGGACTGTGAAGGTAATTTGAAGTTTCAAAGGCAGACCCAAAGGGGAGCAGACCGTGGCACCCCAAAATATGCCTCTTTGGCATAAGGATGATTTTGAGCTAAATATTTTTAAGAAACAGGAGATCCAGCAAAAGCTCTGAAAATGTGGCAAGAGGTACCCTTTTATGAGGGAAATTGACATGGATAAGGGAACTCCCCATTTGTAAGGGTCTCTCCTGCTCTGTACCAGAGAGAGAAGGAGCACTCTACATCCTAACACCCTTACTCTTGTTTACTGGGCTAACCGCTCATAGGTGACTCCTCCTCCCCCACCATATTTAGCTGGAAAAGGTACTCAAGGGGAGAACCTAGCCTATTTGGGATTTACCCAGTTCTTCTGGGTATCTCTCCTGTACACAGAGGCATACATAGTATTAAACTAATGTGGTCCCCCCTCCCCGCCTCGTTAATCTGTTTTGTGTGGGGATCTCAGCCAGGAACCTAGAAGGTAAAAGGAAATTTATTTTTCCTCCCCTACAGGGACAAAGTTTGAGTTAGAAAAATGCTGTGACTTTCATAGTTTCTATCAACCATGAGCTCAAAGAAACACAACATAACCCAGTGCTAATGGCAGAATGGTATATTCTTAGCCTCCTCAGAAAGGCACAGAATCCATGGTTCCAACACCAAATCTGTGGTGGCCGTCAGAACTTTGGCAGGGGTGACATTACATTTGTTAAACAATTTAGGCTTTTGGCCATTTTATAAGTTTACAGGACTGCCAGAGACTTTATATAGTCAGTCATATGCACACACACACATTTTTCACCAATACAACATCTGTGCTGTCTAGAGCCCATTTATGTCAGCTTTGACTGCATGGTGATCAAATTATGGCAAAACTAAGATACACTGACATGGTCATTAATTTGGCTTAAGAAATAATTAACACAAAAAACTTAAAAAATCTTTGGTGGCATGTTAAATGCATACTTCAGCATAAAGAGAGAAAACCACTCAATTTAAAATCTCTAAATTACAAGATTTAATAAAAAGCTTCAAACCCCCCCCAAAAAAAAGCTTCAAACCCAGTAACTTTTAAACAACGACAAAAAAAACGCCACCCAACTTAATCCTAGAAGTCTCAAGGCATGATCTATAAATTAACAGACCCTTCTGTTATAGGTTGTGTTAAGGACTATTATTAAACACCCTTTAACTTAAAGCATCAACACAGTAAATCACAGCGGCTTTTAAAATTTCTATAAAATACCAAATTCAAAACTTACACAAAATCTCATAGCCAAAAGTCAAGAAAAGAAATAGAAAAACACAGGCTTTGAAATAGTTGGCTAAACTCCAGCATCTCACACAGTCCATCACCCATCCCTGGGGCCTGTGCTGCTGGCCTGGTGGGTGACGTCACAAGCAGTGGCAGATAAAAGGGAGGAGCTTGCAGATCCTGTCCTGCGGGATGGGTGAGGCGTGGGCGGCAGCTTCTAAACCAAGTTGAACTCCCTCAGGTTGAGCTGGAGAATTGTGTCCTTCACAGCCGCGAACACAAAGCGGATATTCTCCGTGTCTGTGGCACATGTGAAGTGAGAATAGATGACTTTCTCTTTGTCAGGATTCTGATCTTGGTACAGCTTCAGGATAAAGTCTCTGGCGGCTCTGACATCCTGCTTCGGTCCTAGTCAAGAGTGCGGGGACAGGAATGAAGAAAGCGCCTAGAGCCCAGGTCCTCCCCACAGTCAAGGTCCATGATACTCCTGTCCTCACATGGGATCCTTCTCTGAGTGATCTTACGCCTAGAGAAGAGCTTACCCGGGCCCCTAACTTCTTTTATAGCTCATAATGAACCTGTAAAAGAGACTTTTAAAGGGCCCACTGCTATCTAAAAAGTGTACTTTAAAGCAATTTGTTGAAAAACAGTGACCCCATGTTCTGGTTTGGGCCACTCAGGCAGACAGAAGTGGACTAGGAGCAGGGGAAGGAAGAGCACAGGACTGGGACTGGACCCCCAGGTCTGATGTTACAGCGTGAGGGCTCTCGCCACATGGCCGATGCAAGTGAGGAAGGCCAGGGGAGCACCGGGGAGGTGCCCTCGAGTGCAGATTAGGGTGGGGGGAGCATGAGCAGGACTTCCCCAAAGACGATGTGCCTGATCTGGGTCTTGGAGGACAAGGTGGAGTTCACAGGGTTGGCATGTGTGGAGGGGCTGAGGCAACAAAAGAACCGTGCACCTGGAGCCTCCATGGAAAAGTCTGTTAGGGGCAGATCGGGGAGGCCCCTGAGCTCTGTCAGTAACGCTGGTCAGATGCCAGGGAGGTCAACAGGAGGGACACTAACTTACCTGTGTATTCTGGAAAGTAGCTAATTAGATGAGAGTACATGATTTTCTCCTCCAAAAGATCCTTCTTATTTAAGAACAAAATCACAGAGGAGTTCAAAAACCAGGGATAGGTAATAATGGTTTTAAATAAGGCTTTGCTCTCCTCCATGCGGTTCTAGTGAGAAACAAAGGACTTAGGGTTAATAAAGAAAAATAATACTTTGGAAGCACCAAGCCAGATTGCTGGTACCACCCATGTGTCCCCTCGCCCAGCTGCCACACCACTCTCCATGCTGAAGCTGGTAAGCACAGGGCACCCCCGAGCCCCAGGACACCAGGCCTTGAGCTTCTCTTTACCCCCCTTCCGTTCTTTCAAACACCCCCTCCTGGGTCTGTTCTCCTGCAGCACCCCAAATAAACACACAAAATATAAGGCTTTTGTGAAACTTGGAAAATGGTTCATGCCCATATTTGGCAAAAAAAAATTTTTTTTTTTGGCAAAAATTTTCTGTTAAATTATTGGGATTACCAATTGCGAAAATGCATAATATAGACCCGAGACACCCAATGTAATTGGGGATGGGCTTCCAGCCACAAGAGGAAGGGTCCTCTGGGACTGATGCTACTGAGCCCCTTCCCTGGGCCGCACCCTACAGGTGGGTAATACAGGTGAGGTCTGCTAGAGGAGCAGGGTCCCCATTTTATGGATGAACATACTAGTGCTCATAAATTTAAATTAGGTCCCAAGTCTGTGTAATAGTAGGATCTGGTCCAAATTATGTAGAAAAAGAGTAAAAATTTAACAATAGACATTGGCAGGAATATATCAAATGTTCCTAATTTAGGGAGAGTACCCAGGGCACACAGAAATCTGGTGACAATAATTGTTCTAGATTGTACTCTGAAGTGTTTTTTTTTTTAGTCAGCTCTGTGGAGCTTGAAGTCCTACCCTGACATCAAAGCCACATGCCCCACCGACTGAGCCAGCCAGGCACGCCTGCTCTTAAGGATTTCTAAGAGTAAAGAAATAAGAACTTCCCTTTATAGAGGGCAGCGGTCAAAGACATGAAAGCCTTGCACACCCGCTCCAGAGGAATAAGTCTGTCTCCCTGCAACTCCTGCATACCTGGGCCCATTCTTCTATGTAGCACATTCTTGGCAGTTAAGATCTGGAATTCGTTACCTGACAGGTAACCCCTCAGTTTTTAAAGCTTTAGAAAAACTTATTATGGTCTTATCAATAATGGTCTACAAGAAAGTTGACCCTTGAACACCGCAGGAGTTAAGGGGGCTGATCCCCTGTTGGAAATGTACATATAACTTTTGACTCCCTAAAAACTACTAATACCTTACCATTTACCACAGTCTCACCAATAACAATTAACACATTTTATGTTATATTATATTATATTCCATATTCTTTATGTTATATTCCATATTCTTTCACTAAAGCTAGAGAAAAAAATGTCATGAAGAAAATCCTAAGGTAAATACACTTTTACTGTACCATATTTATCGGGAAAAAAGCTCATGTGTAAATGGACCCGGGCAGTTCAAACCTGTATTGTTCAAGGATCAGCTATACATGAAGAAACAATTCCTGTAAGCCCAGCATACACATCACATATCTACCTGCAGGAGGGCGAGTCTGGAGGGGAGTTCCTCTCCCAAATACCTTGTGGCTTTTAGGAGAGGAGAAAATGTCTAATTTGTAAGCATACTTGGTTGGGGCATTGGTCCCTTCTGCCCCTGAATAATCTTTTGAGTTTCCGGAGAAACATCATTAAGTAATCCTGAGACAAATTTGGAGCTCATTTTTCGTATTGATAACTTGAAGCCTTCTCCTTTTTTGTTTTTGAAAAAAATGTCCCTCCTGGAAAAGCTGGGTGGCAGCCAAGATTCTTCTTTGTACAATGAGACCAGTAAATGGGCTAATCCTCCCCTAATTAGCTAATGTAACTCTGCTCCTCAGAGAAAAGCCTGCTCTCGAGAAATACAAAATATAATTTGTTCATAGTTACTGCCTAATCCTGGGCAGAATGCTTTACTGGTTTACTACCATGACCTAGAAGGAAGAGACATTTTTCTGCAAGATCAGGATGTCTCGTGCAAGGCTGGGGAAAAGACAGGGGGAGGACAGTGGTATCGCACAGCCCCACCTCCCAGAGAAGGGACAGCGACGGCTGTCCTCGCGCTCTGGGCAGATGTGGTTGCTGCAGTCCCCCACAGCTGGCACTACAGCAGCTCTGCAGAGGACGCGGAATGCCTGGCTGGGGAGTATCAGAACAGCTTTAAGCATCTCACACCACTGCTTAGCTCAGTTAGGACCTCATTTGGAAGCCCTGTGGAGAGAGACCAGGAAGCCTGTTCCCACATGCTTATGAGAAAGAGCACTGCTCAACTTTGGCTGTGCACGAGCACCTCTGAGGGGCTTGGCAAAGATACCGCCGACTCAAACCCAAGAAATACAAATCTCTACTGTGACTTCCAAAAGATGGTCTTTTCTGGAAACTTCCCGGGAGATTCCAATATGCATGCAGCCAGGACTGAGAACCAGTGCTTTCGGGACGCTCTACCCTTGGCACCACCTGAGATCCCAACCCAGGCTCAGCCCACCCCCACCCCAGCCGCATGAGTCTGCAGTTGGACCCACGTGCCAGGTTCCTCTTAAAGATCCCCAGGGAATTCCAGGCCAGTGATTCTCAAACTTTCACGTGTATTTGAATTAAAATACAAGTTCTGATTAACTCAGCGTGGGTCAATTGGGCATGCATTTCTAACAAGCACGAAGGGGATGCTGGTCCTCTTAATTCCACAGGCTACACTTGGAATAGCAAGATAGGTTTTGTTCTTGAGGTTACACTAACGCCAGAACAGGCCGGCTTCTTGCAAACACACAGCTGCCCCTCCCCACCCAGCATACCTCATTGTCACACTCAGCCAGGACCTGGTCGTATTCACTCAGCGCAACCAAAAAAATAATGGAGGTGACACTCTCAAAGCAGTGAATCCATTTCCGTCTCTCAGATCGCTGGCCACCAACATCTACCATCCTGTTGGACACAAACACAGAGCATCCAAAGGTTAGAACACATGGCTCTTTGGAGATGGACAGGAATCCTATGGTGCAGGTCGGCACTCCTTAGGATCTTCGATAGTGTTTGAGTGGAAAGGGGCTTAAGACGCCAGTGTTGAAGCACCGCTGCTTTTGGTGGAGAGGGACCCTAGGTGCTTCCTAGTGAAGGAGGCATGGAACGTAAGGGGGGTTACTGGAGACAGTGCCGTGGCGGTCACTCGGGGAGCCTGCTCGGGGACGCCGGTCTGGAAGCAGCTGCATTCGTCTGGGCAGAAAGCACAAGCATCACGTAAGTGTCCCTCTAAGCACTGTTGAGCGCCAGGCATCAGACACGGGAGGGGCAGAAAGGCAGGCCCTCTTCCAGGCCCCCCAGTTCCGCCAGCTGCCTCCAGGCCCTCCCCGCTGCCTCTTTCCCACGCTCCTCAGACTCACCCACCAGTCCACATGATGTGGAAGCCACCCCTTCTGGGCTATAAGACCTGGAAGTCTCCCCCGTCCCCTGTGGCAACCCGAAGGCTCTACCCGGGGCTTTGGGAAAAGACTCAAGGGAGTCAGAGCCCAAAGATGGCGTGTAAGCTCGGACGCTGCAGGAGGCAGGCGGTTTACAGAAATGAGTCAAGTGGGTCTCTCCAGAGACGAACAGCAGGCAGCCTCGAGAATGCTCGGGCCCCGGCTAGAGGCTTGACCGCTAGGCAGCTGCAGGCAAGCAGCGCCGGGCAGAAGTGCAGGCCCCCACCAGCGCCTCAACCTTTCAGGAGCAACCAGGGATCAAATGTTAGCGAAATGGGCCAGTTCTTAAATACTGACTCAAAAGTGACTTAGAAAACACCAAGGGGGCCACAGAGAATACAGCTGGGGACCAGATTCAGGGTTCAGAAGTAGCTGGCAGCACCGATTCTAAAAAGCTCACAGTCATAAATTCATGGGGACCCAGATGCAGATTTTCAAGGGGCTGGACCAGGGGGCTCCCCAGTGCCACGATGCTCCAGAGGCCCGGAGATGAAGTGGGGTTCACAGACAGGACCTAGGCGTGGCAGGACCGACTGGTGTCATCTCCGCCGATGGGGATCAAGGGAACGAGCGGGTATAAAAGTGCCCTGAAATGTTCTGAGACTGTTCCAAGGGGAAGAGGAAGGTGAGTTCCTCTCTGATCCAGGACTTGAGACCCCTTGTCGTGTTACACAGAGATGGAGAGGGTCAGACGCCTCTAGGAGACAGACCCCTTTGAGGAATAACACACTTAAGAATCCCTCCAGGGACTTCCAAGGCCACACAGATTGGGAGGACGATGTCAGGGAGACAGTCTTACCGAAAGATGATGTTTTCCAAGTCAAACGGATACTCGATGATGCCGGTTGTGGGCACTCGGACGCGAAGCACGTCTTGCTGTGTTGGCACAAATGACGGCATGGCGATGCGGTCAAGGTCAGTCAGGTAACTGCGATGTCAGACAACAAGGCACCAAGACTCATTTTAGACGAAACGTCCACCCTACGACTCCCAGCACCCCCACGGGGTTCACGGGTTCCATCCGAGCCCACCTGGAGAGCTGGTGCTGGACGGTCTCCCCACCCCCCGCTATGTTTGGGAGAGAATATGGATCAGAAGCTTCCATGAGTCCCCTGAGAAATCTGGGAATAATGCCATCTCTTCCTCCAGGCTCTAAGCGTTCCCTCTCCCTGGCCAGTGAGGGAGCCAGCGGGTCAGAAGGAAAGGATGTTGGGATCTGGTCTCTGACCTCTCAGCTGCCTTCCTCCTTCAAAGCCCACCCCCCTCCCACATTCACCCCCACCCACGAACATTATAGAACTGAGATGCTGTTCTTAAAGTCTTTGCTCAATGATTCTGAGTTTCTACGAAAGTACAAAGGTATAATACAGGCCATCTCAAAGTTCTTTCAAAATACCAAGATAAAGTTTACTGTTTATTGGGACATTAAACGTCTAAAATCAGCCAACACTAGTCTCGGATTATTTTTGGCTGCAGAGTAAGATTCCTAAACTGAAAACAAATTACTTTTTCCGTTTTCTTGTTTTTTAACTTCAAGGCCATTCATTATACAAGGCATTTTTGAGTAAAAGAACTGTAACCCACGCCCTGGCCAGCGATGGAGGGGGTGCTTCGGGGCGTCCTGCCCAGCGGCTGCTGAGCGAGGACCTCAGAGCGCGGTGCCGAGCAAGGGGCATGAACGGGAACCGAGGGGGAGCTCAGGGTGGCAGGCGGGCCGTAGTCACTGCGCGGCCTTCGGTACAGGAAGCGAACCACCCTCCATCGGGCCGTCTGTCGCCAGAGGACAGAGAACACAGGTTGGCCCACAGCAGCACACATTGAATTCTTCTGAACTGAATACTTTTCCCGATAAGTAGACAGCTCCGGCACGGCTGTGACCCCCGTGGACCTGGGCTGGGTCATGCGGCAGTTCCCCAGCTGGGGCAGCTCTCTGTGGGGCAGCGCGGTCCCCCCAGCCGTTTCCTACATTCCTCTCAGTGCACAAGCCCCAGTTCTCAGCGCTCTGCCGCGCTCCACGCAGCTCCAGAGCCTCCAGGCGGCTCTTCCCAGTGACTCCACGTCCAGAGCCCCGGCCACTCCCCAGAACATTCACAGAAGCAAAGGACACTGGGTGGCCTCAGGGAAGGGCCAGAGATGCCCTCACAGACGTGGAGTTGTCTCCCCCTCCACAGCGGTCCACAGCTGTCCACCCTCCTCCCTGGGACACTGCCTACCTGCCTTCTGGCTCTTTCCTGAGCCGATCCCAGACCTTCTTGGGGCTTCTTTTATTTCCTTTTCCTCCTTGGCTGCTCTACCACACCTAAATGTCCCTGTAATCAGATTGGTTGTGCCAGCCTGGGGTAGTAGCCCGAAACACTCAGCCTGGCGCTAGCACCAAAGGGAGGCCACGGACAGCGGAGGTGAGGCTGCGGGTTTCCTCTCCTGCCGGCTGCCTTGTCCAGACGATCGGGGTGAACTGGCCCCCCACACCAGCTTGGAGGGCAACAACATCCCCCAAAGGGAAGGGGAAGGGATTCTGAGGCCTTCAGAGGCCGGGAGAGGACGCGGGGCAAAAGGGCCAGAGCTGAGCTCCAGAAGCGGGAAGAACCGCCTCTTCAGGCAGGAACGTGACCAATCCATTTGTCCAGGGACCTGCGGACAGAGGCACTGCCTCTGGAAACTCTCAAAGGAAATTCTGTGGTCACCTTGCGATAATTTGCATGCAGGACCATCTATTTCCTCTTACTTTAGGGTTTAATGATTTAAAACCAGAGCTTTATGAATCAAAACTATAGTGCGGGGGTCATCCCAGGGAGTCATTAAGCAAAAGGCTTGTGGACTGAATGTCCTCCCCGTGCTGGGCCTGCAAAACCTGTCTTACCCACCAGAGGGCAGCACCCGATCAGACCTGGAGCAGGCCTATTGATTTCAGATTTGAGGGCAACCATTCCTGCCGTCTACTGATCAGGAAACCAGAAGGCAGAGGGATATGGTGAGGAGGAAAGGAGAAGCCAGAGGCAGTGGTAGTCTTTACTCAAGTCACAAGATTTCAGCGCCACAGATGAGATGAGCTCCCTCCAAAGGACCTCACATTTGGCTGAGCTTCTCGTTGAATAAGAGAGGCTTAGAACACAGCAAAGAAAGGTGGGTATGGACAAGGACAGAGATCGGGGGGTCCACAGCTTTTAGCAAGCGGTAAGACACACACCAAAGTCAGAGGGGGATAGTGACAAGCAGGAAGGGGGTAGTGTTGCCACGTGCCCACATTTTACAGGCCGCTCCTTTCTCCCCAGTGAGAGGCTTCTCTGAAACAGGGCCACCGTGTGCCTGGGCTCTGCACTTACTATTTGGCCGAGTCTGACAGCTGGTACTCCCTTCTCCTGTCGTAACACTCCTGGATTCCTGGGTCCTCCCAGAGCTGCTTGATGGCCTCCACCTGGTCCCTGGACAGGGCGCAGACCTTTTCCACTTCCACTTCTCTGATTAGCTGGGCATTTTCCTGCATGAAGGAAAGAGAACCTGTCATTGGGCGAAGGAAAGGAAGCCACCCCGTTGGTGACATGGGGACAAGACTTCCCCAAGGGAAGTGGCTTAGGGCTATGGATTAGGGACAGTCTCCACTCACGCGCAAACCATGCAGCGGCAGCTCCCACCCATGTAGACGATGTGGCTGCTTCACTCAGGGAGAGCCACAGAGAGACCTGGACCTATGGCTTTTGGTCCTATCAGCCTCCAGGGGCCAGTACCACTGGCATTTGGCACCCATCGGTGAACAGAGAAACCTAAGAGCCAGGGATCATCGCTGTCATTTGAACATCTGCATGGCAGACAGAGCAGTGTGACCTGTTCTCATTGTCTGGGCGTCTCAGGGTGGGGAGGCAGGTGAGGCAGCAGTGAGGGCGGGCCTGGGCTGCAGAGAACACACAAACACTAAGATCACCAGCTAGCTGGGTCGGTCGGCTCGCTTTTCCACTCCCTCCCCCGCCCCCTTTTTTTTTTTTTAATATAACTTAGTAGACTTTATTTCTTAGATCAGTTTTAGGTTCACAGCCAAACTAAGAAAGTTCAGAGAGTTCCCATACCGTCTGCTTATTCGTCATCAGACATCGCTGATAAAACTCCTTCCCATTTGGAGAACCACTCCCACTGCAACCCCTGCCCAAGTCAATTATTGCTTTACTACTGTATTTGTCATTACTATCCTTCAATAACTATTGCTCTAATACTCTTCTCCATTATTACAGTACCTAAGATTACTGTGGTCATTATTACTATTCTGTCAGTTACCGTTTATTGCCCACTTCCTGTGTGCCAAGAGGTGCACACACATTATCTCATTTAATCAATGTAAGACTAGCACAGGGCCAGAAATCTTGCCAGACCTTAGCAAATGAAAATGATATGGTTGGCGTACATCCTCAACATGTCCATGTCTTGGTCACAGAGATCCAATACCCCATCCCTTGGCTGCAAGTTGCAGAGACAAGGGAATCCAGCCTCTCCTCTGCTCCCCCATGCCGGCCGCGTCTCCGGGCAATGACATCATGCAGAGCTGGCTGTTCACGGGCAGCTGTGCCCTGCTTGCTGAAGAGGTGCTTCTATCTTGTGTTATTCATCCTCATTAACAATCCAACGGGAAGCTGGAGAAAGGGGAGATCTTAGAGATTTACTTGACTTGGGGCAAAACCGAGGGCCCTGATGAAACCAGCATGACTTTGCGTCCCTCTCCATCAAGAGTGGCTATTAACTCTTCCCCCTGGACTGTGGGATCCTCGGCAGGGAGAGGGTCCCCGTCGCAGAATCTCAGACGGGTCTTGGCAACGTGGGTTGGTGGGAAACGCCCTGGACCGGGAATAAGGAGCCCGAGTTCTAGTGCACTTGGGACTTGTAAGGACCTCAGCAGTTCCCTATCTCCACATCCTCATTTGTAAAAGGAGCCAAAGACTTTCAAGGCATCTGGTTTATCAGTTATAAAGTATTACCCAAATGTAAGCAACACCAGCCCTATTATTGTGACAGATGCCTAACACTGTTGGCAGAAAGAGGACACACTGACGGCCTTCCAGCCACGACTTCGAATCCTGCCCACGAGCACATCTGGCATCCCCTGCCCAATCCAAGCCAGAGAGCGCGCGCAGCCCAGAGAAGCTGGACAGTGTGTGCCCGGAGCCTCGGGGCTGGCTTCCTCACGCTTCCCTGCCTGCCTCCGCTACCCTCTTCCTCCCGAATAGGATCAGATGGTCTCTCCCCACCCTGGGCTTGGCTCTTCCCTCGGCATTGAAAGGATCTGTTTCCTTCCTCGTCTCTGTAACGAGCCAGTGTCTTAACGCTCCCGATATCCCAGAACCCAGTGCAGTGGCACGGGCAGCCCGCAGACATGCCACCCATACACCCGCCCATCACTGGAACACAGAACATTCCGAGAAAGTAACAGCCGAAGAACGTGAGGGCAGGTGATGGCAGGTGACGGCAGCCTGTGCCGGTCCGAGCAAGAGCACAGAGGAGCTCGAGGGCAGGAAGGGCTCTCCCAGGAGGAAAAGCCCTGGTGATTGCTGGCCAGCCTGTCTTCCTCACTCTGCCCCTGGCAGGCAGAATCCTTGCTTCTGGGGTGCCTGCCTCTCGTGCTGCTCTCCTAACTATGACTTTTTAAAAACTTATTTTTAAAGTAATCTCTACACCCAGAGTGGGGCTCGAACGCATGACCCGGAGACCAAGAGTCGACAGCTCCCCCTACATGCAACGATTACGTGATTACATTCAGCTCACCTGTGGAGGGGCAGCCGGGTGAGAGAGTCCCACCTTGCTGAGCGAGTACAATGAGCAGAGACGCCCCGCCACACCACCCTGCATACCCAGCTCGAGCGAGACATCCTCTTTCCTTATGTGTTCCTGCAGCGTAACCGACGCTATCCTGACCGCCGCACGTCGCAGTGGGTAGGCCCAGTATTTGCCTCTTCCAGGAGGGAGCAAAGGGGAGCCAGGGAGGTATCCCTGAGGAAAGCGGGCTTCGCCACGGGGATGCGGGGTATGGATGCTGGGGAAAGACGGCCCTGAGCCTCCGGGTAACCAGCGGGGCTCAGCCAGGAGAGCAGTACCCAGTGACGGTTCAGCCAAGTGAGGGACAATGCAAGGACTCTGACTTGAAGAAGAGGGGACCACGGTCTCCTTAGAGACTAAGGTTTCTAAGGAGACTGCGGTCCCCCTAGAAACCCAACAACTGGGAACTGGGTTTGGAACCGACTGAATTCAAGGAAACCAGAAGTACTCCAAGTTCAGAGCTCTCCTCCCAGCTAGGTCTCCCACCTGCCGAGGTGGTTCTTTTTCAGCTTATTTTGAAATAATTTAAGACTTGCAAAAATGTGGGGGAAATGGCACAGGAGTTCCTCTCTGCCTTTCGAGAATGCCCCCGTGTTGATAATTTATGACCACGCGTATCATCCATCCCCTCGCTCCAAATGTGTGAGACACACAAGCGCACACACACACACACACACACACACACACACCTTCCCCCTGAAATATCTGCGGGGAAGTCGCAGATACAATGCCTCTTCGTCACTAAAGACTTCAGTGTGATTTCCTCCAAACAGGACACAGGATTACAATGACCAAAATCAAGAAATTAATATTGACACAATATTGTAATCTCACCCTGAGACCTTATCCCGAGTTTGTCAGTTGTCCCCTCAATGCCCTTTATCTGCCCCATCGAGGGTCACAAAACACATCTACTTGGCCTCTACTTATCTGGAAAGGTTCTGTGGTCAGAAGTGGCTCGCTCACCGCGATCACGGTATGACGAAGACACAGATAGGAAGACGGCGGGTAGGGAGCGTGCCTCCGCCGAGGCCCGGAGACGGTTCCAGGAAAAGAATACTATGAAAGGCAGGTTGCCATGAGGAAGAGAGGGACCTGTTTTTAAATAAATTTTATCGGCATGTGACTTCTGTACACTGTGAACAACATCTGTGTGTTATAGAAAGTGGGGTTTTGGGCCTATTTTCCTGTGACTTGGCTATATACCTCCCCGCACAGCAGGAGCAGGGGGGAGTGTGACGAGTGTGTTCACACACCGAGAGAGTTCGCGCCATCTGAGAGCTGGGCGGGGGCCGGGGGGGCATGTGTGTGGAGCAGCTCTGTGTTAAAAGGGGCTCCTCGCACTGAGGGTCTAAAATGGCAATGGCAGGAAGACCCTGAATTCCCCTCCTGTGGGACACACCAAATCTACACCAATTACAGGGCAATTACTCCAGATGAAAACGTGAGGGCTGGAGCACGGGGTGGGGCGGGGGGTGTCCTCTGTCGGTTAAGCCTCTACCTACTGATCTCAGCTTGGGTATTGATCTCGGGGTCATGAGTTCAAGGCCCACGTTGGGCTCCATGTTGAGCCCCATGCTGGGTGTGGAGCCAGCTTAGAACAAAACAAAACAAAGAAACAAAAAACTGAGGGCTGGCTGAAAGGTTCTGCACAACAAAACTAGGGAGACCACACAAAGAACAGCAAGAGAGCCAGAGCCAAGGTAATGAGGGAACCCCACCCCCGACACTGCCAACAGCAGTGGGGACAGACGGTACTGGGGGATCAGGAGCAGATTTATCTGCCCTGGGACACACAAAAAAGCTGCAATTTAAAAGAGCAACGAGTTATAGAAATCCAGCCTCCACAGAAAGGCGGAGAGCTGTTGGAACGCTCTCCAGGGGGAGGGGCCGGTGACCATAGTTGATATTTGCCCTCCACTTTGATACCAAGACAGGAGCAAGCCCCAGGCCTCCAGCCCATACCAGCCCGAGCTGTCGCACGAAGGCAGCGTGAGCACAGTGCACCGTGGAGCACCCTGGGGTTGGCACTCAGGATGGCTGCAGCCTCCACGTCAAGGGGACACAGGCACAAAGCCCACTGGAACACTCCAGACCCGTCCCACTTTGGCCCCAGGTGGCTTCCTAGAGCAGCCCCAGCCCACAGCCCTCTGGGAGCTCCTGGCTCATGTCCACTTTGTCTCCAGCTGCCCCGCCCCCCGCCTGATACAGTCCCTGTGCTAAGTGCCGCGATGCTCTGGCCCATGCCTGCCTCTGTCCCCGCTGTGCCCCCCACCCCTGGGCACCCTGTGAATAGAGCAGCCTAAGACTCCTGGCCAGTACCCTGCCTTTGTTCCAGCCACCCTTCAGGGCGCTGCCTACACATACAGCCCCAGGACACCCCAGCAAGAGCCATCCTCAGCTTCAGTCATCCCACCAGTGTGCCCACCCCTCTGGACACCCCAGGATAACCTTGCTTCCACCCACTTCAGCTTCAGCTGTCCTATCAGGACACCCCTGCATGAAGCACCCAGGGACCCCCAACATATACCCTATCTTACTCCAGCTGCCCACCAGGGCACCATCTGCACAGAGAGCCCAGGGACAGCTTGTACCCACTTCAGCTACAGCTGTCCTGCCAGTGTGCCCTCTGTGTGGAGAGCCGGGATTGTCCTGGTTTCTGCCCACTTCAGCTCTGGCCAT